AAACAAATCTCATCTTATAGATGTCCCAGTGTGTGTGAAAAATAATGTTACCACTAAGAATAGGCATAACAGCTATGCAATGTCATCAACGTCATATTTTGTTGTACTACTTGCTGCTTTAACCAATCTATTCTTTATCAAGGTTGATGTCAACTTGCTATCCTTCTTGAATCTCCTTTTAACAAATTTTGGATTTTCCTTACCATGAGATAATGAATCCATTCGATTGCGTCTATCATCAATGCCAAAAATTATTTTCACATCACTCCTCAATTTAATCTCCTCTCCACCAATGTGAAATTTAGATGTATTAACAGCGAAGCACATTATTACATTCTGTATGTTACTATCGCTCTTCCTAAACCATGTCCTGTCTAATTTTTTATCATTGACGCATTCAGATAGTAACCAAAATGGTGTTTTCATCAAAATATTCTTATGTGTTTCACTTATATTAATGTCATCTATAGTTCTAATTATAACAAGCAAGTTCGATATGTATTTAGGCTCTTGCTTCGATTCCACCATTTGTTTTTTCCCATCACAGCTCTGAGTTGGGAAGAGACAAAGTACAAAGTGTATAAAATATAACAAAAGGTTAACTGAAATTATAACAATATGACCAAATAATTGAACCAAAAATAGTGTATATATCACATTAAAAAAACGTGAACTAGAAACAGTGTGTAACATAGTCCAAAAAATGAACCAAAAATAGTATATAACACAGTCAAATAAGTGAACCAAAAACAGTATATATCACAGTCAAATAAGTGAACAAAAAATAGAGTTACCCTTTTGATGTTACACTTTTCTATATTACACTGTTAGAGTAACAGTGTAAAACATTTAGGATTTACACACATAGTTATTGAACAAGGAATAAACATTTTGCATCCCTTCAAACTATATTATTACCCCACAACAACACTTTATAAACAGAATATACAATTCCCTGTCTAATGATCCACTGTTCTTCATTTTGTTGGGTAACTAGTATGTTGTTACAATATATTGGTATCTTTGTTACACTTTTATGTGTTACCCTTTATATATTATACTGTGATAATAACACATTCAATATTTAGGATTAACACACAGTGTAATCACAACTGTGTCACTGAACAACAATTGTGTCACTGAACAACCTGGGTAATTAACATTCACAGCACAATAATGTTTTAAAACAAAACAAAACATTCAGTGTTTATTTTAACAATATAACAAAATAAAAGTATATCAAAACAAGTGTAACAACAAAAGTATAGCAATAATTGTGTAACAAAACACAACACAAACACCAGTTATATTGCATTCAAACAAAAGTATATATGCATATGTATTCAGTCAACCCAATTTAGAACTATATTCAAGGAATTGAAAAAATAAATTATTAAACTTACAACATCTAATAATTGATTGATTTTTTATAATATGAACACTCTTATGGTATAACAAATACATAATTTGAAGGCCTTTGACAAAAAACAACAAAGATTTTTCAAATTCATCTTTTAATCTTCAAACAAACAAAATAGGGTTCCAATACATGAACTAAACCTAGAAAAAAAAAGTGTAATGTAACCCATGATGATAATACCCAAAAAAATAAACAAGAAAAAAAGTGTAATGTACAGAATTTTAAATGGGCAACTCATTATGATAATACACAAATATATATATATATATATTGTTATACTTCATACACTTTGTACTTTGTCTCTTCCCAACTCAGAGTTATGGTGGGAAAAAACAAATGGTGGAATCGAAGCAAGAGCATAAAACATTTTGTTATACTTTATACACTTTTGTACTTTGTCTCTTCCCAACTCAGAGCAGTGATGGGGAAAAACAAATGGTGGAATCGAAGTAGAGCCTAAATACATATCGAACTTGCTTGTCATAATTAGAGCTATAGATGACATTAATATAAGTGAAGCACACAAGACTGTTTTTGAAGAAAACACCATTTTGGTTACTATTTGAATGTATCATTAATAAAAAATTAAATAGGACATAGTGTAGGAAGAGTGATAGTAACATACAGGATGTAATAATGTGTTTCGATGTTAATACATTCAAATTTCACATTGATGGGGAGGAGATTAAATTGAAAAGGAGTAATGTGAAAATAATTTTTGGCATTGATGATGGACGTGATCGAATGGATTCATTATCTCATGATAAGAAAAATCCAAAATTTGTTAAAAGGAGGCTCAATAAAGATAGCACGTTAACATCAACCTTGATAAAGAGTAGATTGGTTGAAGCAGCAACTGGTACAACAAAATATGACATTAATGACGTTGCAAGACTGCTATGTCTATTCTTAATGGTAACATTATTTTTCACACACACTGGGACATCTATAAGATGAGAATTTGTTTCATATGTTGAGGATTTAAATGCAATGAAGAATTACGATTGATCAAGTGCAATCCATGAATCTCTTACATCTTCACTTTAGAGAAAGAGTAGCAGCCTATATGGTGATATTAGATGCGTAATATTGCTACTGGTAAGATGTTAACAACCTCGTTTCATTTTCAATATTGTTTCCTGTTGTTTAATAAATTAATGTAACTCGTTTGTTTATATTAAATTTGTAAGTATGTGCAATATTGGATTTGTGAACGTACAACAATTGTTAAATTTGGAAGGCCAAATGCAATACCAAGGATTTTGAAATAGAATTTGTCAAGTCTTCAAAGAACCATGAAATAAAATATGCTTGCAAAGTTGAAGTCAAAATATGTAAGTTGGTTAAATATAACAAATTTAGTTTAACATGTCCATGTTACAGAATTTTTAAATCTTTTATGTTATCATATAATACACTTGCATCATAAAACAGTAATGTCACACTATAATGATACACTTCCATATTATATTTGTGATATTTAAAGCATACAATTGTCTATTTGTCTTTGTATCAAAGGTGTTGAGACATAGATTGCACAGAATAGTGCAATGGGAATGAGGAGGGAGAACATAATACATTTTTTGGCGATGACGATAATATGTTGGATGTTATTGGTGGTGATGGAGATTCAAATATCACATTTGAATCTCTTATTGATGTTGCTATTAACAAAGCGACACACAATCTTGATGTTCCAGTATAAGATGACAGTGATGTAGGAGAAGAAAAAGACAGAAATAGACAAAGACTTCAAGAGCTATTGAAGGAAAAATAATGTTTTGAAAATTGTTATTAGGAACATAGGCACAGATAAATGTTATTTGGATCATTCATATTCTGTTTCTGGTGGTGATGAGTTTGACAAATAACAATCTGCATTCTCCATTGAAAATGCAAGAAAAGGAGACGATGATAAATGAGTTGAATTAAATTGTTGAAAATATAAAAAAAGAGGGAGCAAATGTTTGAAGCAGAAATACAAGCTTGCAAAAAAACAATAAAAAATCGAGAAAATGAGAATGCTGAGTTGATTGATTAACTTAATGAATTATCTGTCTATGTCATACCTCATGAATATCAACAAAAAAACATTACAGCTTAAGATCATGGGGAAAAGAAAAAAACAGGACAAACATCAATGGTCCGAAACATAAAGAAAAGAGATAGGTAATAGAAGAGAGATGCAGAATTTGAATAAAATAGGGAAAAAAAAAAGGAAAAAAAATCAGATTATGACATTAGATACAATCAACAAAACTTACACTTTCAACATGTCACCTACCTCCAACACTGTCTCGTCACTAACCAGTGGGGAGAAATCGCAGACAGTGTTGTTTACAGATAGGCAAGTAGGGAAAGCAACACCCCTTTCTTAACATCATTGTAAATATTCGTGGTTTGCATATATGTTGCACAGTTACAACCATTTAGTGCCAGGAGGATCCATAAGCGTAAAATCACTGCTCATATACACAAAGCTTATTCACTGATGAATGAATCACCTTTCTCATAAATATAAACAATCTTGGCCTTTGGTTTACATTGTGACAATACTAATAGCATAGATTCTGCATAATTTAAAATTTTGCATAAATTAAAAAAATTGAATTACCATATACAAGCCATAAATTTCTGTTAAAAATGTGTGTTCTTATGTGCAGTGTTCATGTTTGTCCACAGTGTTCATGTTTTTGTGCATATACATTTTATATAATGGCTTAAAAAATAGTGATATCAACAGCTACATTAGACCTCTGCATCTGTTCCACCCCCATATGCCTTCAAATGCAACATTCGCCTCTCAAGGTTTCACCAAGCAGTTTAATTGGAGTATGACATAAACATAATTTTTAATATCGTACGATACGTCACGATATATCTAAAAAATGATACGTATCGTGTCTCTGTATTATTTTTGTACCGTATCGTATGACACACGATACGATATGTCCGATACGTGGTAATTCTGTTTTTTTAATTTGTATTTTTTGGGTTTCTGGGACTAAAATGACATCGTTTTATCCTAGGACTTATTTTTAAATTACTAGCTAGTGAAACAACGTCGTTTCAATGGTTATGGTTTTAAAAAAAAAAATAAAGTATGTTGTTAATGTTGTTCAATTGAATTCAAAATTCTTGATTAATATTAAGGTTGTTCAAGCAGTTGATGTTAGAAATTTGAATTAGAAGTCTTTGTATTTTGATATTAATGAACCATATTGGAAACTTGAATAGTTGGTGGAATATTAATGAAATTCAATATTATTATGAGTTTATGATTTTTTTACAATGGTGTATATATATATATATATAATAATTATTAAAAAATTATAATTATGCGATTTAACAACTATAGGCATAAAATAGAGTTTGGAGAATTTTGGCCAGACTCCCCCCCCTATGCTTACAGGAGATCCAAAGGAACTGAAGAGTCGCTCAAAAAAATCGACTTCACATCTGAAATCTAATTGATATCTACTTAGGGAAATATATTTGAGATTAGGAAAACAACAATATGAAGGTTACCTATGAGGATGCAATCTGCATATATCTTCTCTCATAAAAGCCAGTCACCTGGTCAGCCACAACCCACATGATCGCCTGGCCAGGTGGGATTCTCATTAGCCGGGGCAGCAGTCCCCTTCCACAAGGCGAGCAACCCTTCCTCCATATATATGGTTGCTATAGCATGAAACATGCCTCTATACTTCAACTCACCAACAGATCGGCTCAGAGCCATCAGCCTCATTTTTACAGCATCAAATGGACTTTTGCAGCAAGGCCCAACAGTTCCTGCAAGAAATCTAGATATCAAAACTGCCATGGTTCGAGTACCTTCCCATCACCTTCGCGTTTTCCCCACAAGACCCCATCGAAAAAGTTCTTGGCCGTAAACATGGCAGCCTGGTTTATCCCATTGCGCAAAACAGTCGGGGCAGCCCCTGACCAGAGACCAAGGATGCCTTCTTCACGGATGATCTAACAAGCACAATGTACAGGACCCTTGTACTTTAAAACCTCAGGGCTCAATCCTTTCTGCTGCTGCAGTCTAATTTTCACCTTACCACCTGCATTAGTCAATTTTATCCAACCATTTGAGTGATCCCAACTAATTTATACCTCAAAATTTTGCAAAGTGGTTGATTGTTTAATGTTGTGGTAAACA